CAGGCTCACCATGAACACAAGCGAAACTGTGTGTCTCTTTCAGCCTTCACTGGAGGTGCAGTCTTCAATAGTGCCGCGCATCAGCATTGTTGCTGAAATATCGGAAACCACCTCCCAGTTCTGCTACCTTGGGAGTGTGATGTCGACTGTTGAGCAGCTACACAATGAGCTTGCTATCCGGGTCTCGAAAGCAGCGGCGGCATTCTGGAAGATTGAGTACCGAGTGTGGAACAACCATCAGCTTACCATTTGCACGAAGGTGATGTACAAATCCATGGTGCTGTCCATTCTTCTATACGGCAGTGAACCACGAACGATGTACCCTCGGGATGTGCCAAGTCTCCATCGGTTCCATCAGTAATGTTTGCGTCGGATTCTACGGGTTGGATGGAGAGACAAAGTTGCGGATACTGAAGTGTTGCGTCGAAGTGGAAAGTATGCAGTGGACTGCTGCATACTTTTGCTGAGACACCTGAAATGGCTGGGCCATGTGCGGCGTATGGATTGGACGCGGATACTGAAACAGATATTATATGTTCCGCTGGGGGTTGTGTAGTGGCGTGCGGGGAAACCAAATCTACCCTACCAGGACATGATCAAAGTGAGTCTCTCACGTTCTAATCTTGATTGCAGGTCATGGGAATCGAAGGCGGTTGATCAGCTTCCATGGCGCGATCTGATCATGAAGGCAGTTGCCGAAGTGCGGGAGATAGACCTCATACATACAGATAAGAAGGGCAAATGCGGAACCGGCAAGCACCGATGGGTTGTACACCATCAACATCGAACGCATAGTGCTGTAGTACATGCGGTCGCAAGTGCCTGAGTCAGGCAGGCCTAGTGAGCCATGAGCGAGGCCACTCGGGACCACTACCGAAGCGACCATGGGTCCTGCAGAGAACGTAGGCAGAACCGGCGCAGCGGTTGTAGGTACGCTACATTCGATTTACTAACCACGTGCTTGCATGCTAAGCCTCTTTATTTCAGCCGCTGGGTTTGCAATTTTGTCCAAATGTTTTTATTTCTCATATCAATGTCTATCACTACTATCTTTTACACACTTGTTCACGTCGCTTAAGCTAATTGTAGTTAACTTCGATAGCCTCACGCGTTTTTGGCATTTCCTTAAAATATATTTTCTGACCTCTTGAACGTATCGCGGATTGGCTCGTAACCAATTCATTTTATATGCCCATTTAGTGAAGAGTTATACCGCCGTATCTGTAATGCATTATCCGATTTATTTTGTTTCATTTTGTCATTTCAAGTGATTGACTGTTGCCTGATATTCCTGGCGTGACTGCGCTTGATGTGCATGTTGAGAAGGTGCCTACCCGTTTATTACCCACTACTTCGTCCATACTGCCTCCAAGAGACAGTTGGTCGTTGCAGCAGGGGACGGGGTGCACGGTCCTTGTGGCCGTGCTAGGCTCAAATAGTGGTTCCATGCACTCAGTGTAGAGCGGACCACGGTCAAGCCACCGCTTTGTGTGCGCTTGCTTCCCAGATACAGCGTGCTTGTGTTTGTCTCTGAAGGTGTTTGGGCCGGCTCCGTTGATGAAACGTGGCTCTTATCTGCATGCCTCCCGGTGTTATTCCATTAGGTTTAGACTGGATTGGGGGTTTGTGCTTGGAGCTGTGGGTGGTGCGGCGCAAACCATCCATGGTCCCTCTGTAGGCGCCAGCGTATTGTGGCTGTCCACATTGACAGGCAAATCCGTAACCGGATGCTGCCATCCCTATATGGCAATGTGATCTATTTGGGTCCATTGCTGGCCAGTCGCAGGATGGCGCCAAGTGGCATTTCGGTGCCCACTATGTCTGAAAGTGGTGCTACTAAAAAACAACTGGTGCTCCGCACATCATTGCACAGACGCTCGCCGTTGTCCGTCTGTTCGGAGTTTTGTCCGAGCATCACAAATTTCCGGCTGATTTGATTGTTTCTTCATACTTTGCTGTCACTCGGCTAACGCGCCTGAGTCAACAGATACGAACCCGCAGGCTCCTTATAACCACGACATATGTCAGCAACTGAAGGAGATTTCATCCAGCTCTCGCTATTCCACACTGAATCAGGTACTTCCCATTAACCTCCTTCAATAAAACAACTAAATCTCTGTATATGCTTTGCGCCTCTTCAGTGGCCTTTCGGTGCAGCATCACTTGCATTTGCCTCTTCACCTCAGCCTCTAAATAGGTTGGTATCCTTCGAGATTTCTGGGTCCTATACGTCTGGCTCGTTAGCTTGATCGTGTTCACCATCCTGTAACCAAATCCATACGGCCTGATGTCATGTAAAGATGTGATGATACTCGCTGATGATAATTCTGCCCTCAATGTCAGCCTCAAGTATAACGGGCAACAATCGAATGCACATCGACGGTTCGTTCACTGCCAACGAGTAATACAGTCATGCGTTCAGCCAACGTCTTCCTTCGTTTTCAGTCGATGATAGCCTTGTTATACTCCAGGAAATCTGCTTCCAATACGGTCTGCTTCGTGTCTGGTGACACGATTAAGACGTATGTTCAATTCCGTTTCCCTATTCCAAATGATGTGTTCTGCCATACCATTGGCACCTTGTGTTGCGGCCAACTCCTTTCACGATCATGGAGCACCATTGAAGCTTTTCGCCCCGCGTAAGCTAACCAGAGACACTGCCTCACTTGTATGAATCAGACACCGTTACATCGTTCCGTCTACTTCCACCATCAATTCGGTCGCCCCTCTGTTCAGCGCCCCGAGTACACTTTCCTCGATCCGAAAAGAAAACAAGGTTGAATGCGTCTATTTGGTACAGGTCGCAGCGCTCGTCACCGGACACTGTCGTTCCCAGGGTCCCGGTTTTCTGCAATGGAACTGACATCCTCTTTTTCGCTCCTCCGATCGCTAAACACGAATCCATTGACATCTCGCACGAACTGTTACGTCATCCTCCAATCTATCCAAGCGCTCCAGATCCCTGTGGTGTCCTTTCTCCAACACAACCAGTGGCGCGTCGTCCATCTCTCGAGTCACTTGCGCCAACTCCTCCAGCTGCCTTCCCCCGCTAACGCTCGCGGTCCGGAGGCGTTCCGAGATCGGCTATCGGAGACTGGTCCTGACCTAATATCAGCTTTGTATCGAACGAAGAATCTTAAACTTATGGAATACACTACCGGAAGGATTAATAGAGGCCGATTCTGTGAAGTGTTTTAAAACCCGTATCGACGATTATTTCGGAAAAATGTGCTTTTGTGAAACGATGCACATACAATGCCAAAAGGAAACATTGTATGCCCGGAAATAATGACACTAGTGCAAATTCCTAACCGAACAAGGATAAACGATTGACGGACCAGACACAACTGCTGATGATTCACAAATAGATGTTTTTGATTTTTCGTAATTCGATAGATGTACAGAAACCTTTTTACTTTCTCTTAAATACAGTCTCATTCTAATATATTACCGGCTTGGCACTGTCCAACAGCCTCCTGATGTAAACCGAAAATGCAAGGGGGTCCACCACGTCTTCAAACCGGTCCGCTTTGAATCGCAGCTTGCCTGTGGGCGATCCGCTGGATTGTCCAACCTGGAAACCAACACGTCCTTTGCGGCACCCCACTCTAACTTGACGAAGCCTCTTCTCGCCATCTCTGGGACTGCTCTCAACATGCCCTTGACAAGACTCCCCAGAGCCACCAAATTCGCCAGGTCGGTCTCCACACCAACGACCTCCGCCACATCCTTGAAACGGTCCAAAAAGATTCTCACATCCTCTTCTTCGAACTGCTACGATCAAGAGCTGTTCTTTACCTACTTTCGTTGGTCACTGCACCAGTGTAAAAACCCAAGGTTCTAGCGAATTTATTTACCTCAGCATGGACCGGATACAGCAGTTCTGACCAGCGAAACTTCCAGTCATCTACGCACTTTCTGTAGAAAATTCTGTGGCGCATTGCTTATGTGTTTATTACTTATGTGACGCGCATACATATGCGGTTCCAAAGCGCTGCTTTTCTTTCTAGGAGTTATTATGGCTCGCTGGTGGCCCGTTAGCGTTTGGTTTTCTAGCGCAGTAGTGCCTCCCTTTTGTCCACCACAAGATGATGGCCTACACGAGTTGTTTCATTGCCCGTTCCAATTTATCCAACCGCTTCATTATTTCATATTGAACCTCCGATACAGCAAGTGGTGCTTCGTCCTGCTCACGGGCCACCTGTGCTGGCTCCTTCATGAAATCCCCGGGTAGCGTTCGCACTTCGGATGTTCGGCGAACGGATGCAGGATAGCGGTGAAGTTCTGCACCACTAGTAATGTAGCTATCTTGGCACTCTATCCACTTAATGTGAACAGCAGACTCGAGCGGGTCATCTTGTGATCCAAGCGGAGCCGCCTAGAACCGCCACATGGCCTCGTATTCGTCCAGACTGTCCAATTCGTAGAGGAACACCTCCTTCGTGGTGCCTGACTTCATTTTAGGTAGAATTCTTCGAGCTCCTTCCAGTACTACTGTTTTCTCTCTGCCATTGAGTTGACTCCCCAGAACGTTCAGCTTCGCCAGGTCGACTTTCACTCACACCTCCTCCACCACATCCTCGAAATCTTGTTAGATTGTCTGTACACTCCCTTCTGCAAACGGCTCCTGCCATGGGATCTTCACGCTCTACCTTGCAGGTCATGTCTCCGGCACAAGGACCCAACTTATGAACGGTTATTTATTGTGGCAAACAACCTCATTTCTGTGCATCAGCTGCAACCACCAACCGTTCCATTTATCTTCGATCTCTCTGTTGGTGATTACGAGGTGCACGGTACTCGCGTTTCCGGTCATAGTACACATATCTATGTGGCTCTCATGCGTTGCTTTTCTGCTTGGACGTCTGTGTGGTACGCTTTTGGCTCGATACCGTATGACTTTCTTGGTGGTTTTATTCTGCTGACACTCAGTATAGTAGTACTGATTTTTGGTCCATCGCAACAGCACAACGGTTTATTTTCATTATAGTTCCACATTCATGATATCTTCATACTTTCTGTTACAGAAAAGCGAACCCACACCTGTGAACACTGTGGTAAAGCCTTCTTTCAGAATTCTCATCTCCAGCTTCACGTATCCGTCATCCATTTGCGTAAGTGCTATCTTTTACGTATTTTGTGTTTGCATGTGCAATACCACGATATGTACCGCCAACTACTTGGAGCCTTCCCCTCTATGACTCACGGTTTTATAGCTTATGTATTCATCATCAATCTACACGTTAGCTGAGAGTGCTCCAATACAACAAAGATACTAAAAATTACACTAAAATTCAAAACGTATGTACTATAACGTTAAACATAATATTATGTATTGTCTATGTGATCGCAATTAGAGGGGAATCCATAGGAGAGGGGGTAACAATGAAACAAGACAAACGCCATTAGAGCCGGCTCTTCACCATATCAGCAAGTGTGTCCAGCCAAACACGTTTATCGTTATTGGGACCCAAGCCCGGTAGTCGGGATTGGGTCCCACCGGCGCCAACTTCAAGGTGAGACATGTTACGTGTTAGTTGCTTCTCAATGTGTATTGTTATGAATGGCCTAGTTGTAACGTCTAGATCGGTCGGAACCAATGACACGGTCCTTGAGGATTCTACCCTCGAAGCGAGGTGCTAGACACAATCGCTGGATACTGACGCACTCGAATTCTAGAAAAGGGGTGTGAGATGTCAAGCCTTTGGTGAGGTGTTTTTACGATCTGGCAATGCTAGTACCAAGCTGCACACTCTCGACAATGTACCAAGGTTTGTGAACTATGCTAAATTACTCTTATCACGGGGGGACGAGTCCGGACATGTGGATCGAAATGAATGGGACGTATAAGCGCGGGCGAGGCGTAACCCCTGGGTTCCCCTGTATACAAGGCATCAACAGTACGCCGGTATGTAGTATGGACGCTTCGATTCTGCGCAACCACCACCGGTCGCACGTGGACTACAGATACCGCGAGGGTCACCCTGTCCCTACGCCGGCTCAAACCCGCGCCGTCAGATTACATGGTAAGCTCGTTACCTTTAGACTTCGGGCTGGCCATGTCTACAAAGAGGTAGTTGGTACGAGTTCGGACATATGAGCTCACCTGGAACTGGATAATCGCACCGTCGATCCGCAGCTGGTAGTCGTTAGTTTCATCAAAGCCCACCATAATGCCGCGTTTCCGGCTGTGGAAGAAAGTAGCAATCAGATGAATTTTTCATACGCAACCCTATTCTGACGGATCGACGGATCAATCGAAATAAAAGTATACAGAAAACCGCGTTGGGCGGAACAATACACGGATTTTCACAACTTCATCCCATTCAGCCGCAGAAGGACATTGGTGTGAACCCTAAATGATCGCGCGTATTAAATTTTAAGCGAAGACGCTATTGAAGGTAAACACAAACGCATTGAAGTAATGTTTCTGGATTACGGCTATCCAGAACGCTTTATAGAGGCCCACAAGGTGCGACGCATACCAAACGTGCCGAAGCAAAATCGTGCAATGTAGTTGGTTGGCGAACTCAGGTAAGTGTCGACTTTTGAGGGAAGTTGTACTCTGACACTCGAACAACCACCCAACTGTGGAACAGCGGTGCGATATGAGTGGCTGACAAACTTGGTTGTTCCTCGACTGTGTACCGACAGGGGCCGTGTCATGCTGCGGACAAACGGCGAAATGTGGTTGTCGATGCAAATTGGAATTCCTTCTCATTGATTGAGGCGAAGACGCCGAAGATCACGGTTTCCATAATTACTTCTGATCTGTAAATAGAACCGTTCCCGAACACTCACCGTGTACCGAATCTTGACTTTTGGTTTTACGGTTGGATTCGACGTTAGACGGAACCGGTCTAGAGCGGCAGTGCGGCAGGTGAAGGAGTACAACACAGCCCCGGAACGAGTGCTACTGTGAGGCGCAGTGTTAGTGGTTTTTGCGGCTGTACGGATTTTCTCTGCTCTTGAAGCGGTACTTTTGCCAACATATTCTGTTTTACCAACTGAATCCACCGCGTTAGTTGGTCATTTAAATAAATAAAATCTTTTATTTCTCGATGATTCGAGACTGTTCCCACATAGAGGATGAACAAAATGTACGCAGCTTTTTTCCTCAGATACCCTCCACATATTGGACGGAAGTATGTATTATATTCATGACACTTTCACGCATGCACCTTGTTCATGTGAAGTGCATTGCTGTTAGTATGCAGTCACGTCCAGAGTGAAAAGAATGCTTTAGAGCTGTTATTTACCTGCTAATGCTACGCAGGTTGCGCTCAACTATATCTATTGTTTCATTGTTGAGTAGAGGCAGTCTTTGTTGTGCAGTAACTGTGCCTGTATTAAACGACGAGGAGAAATGCTTATTAGGTAGCTCACAGAGCTCTTCGAGGTCGATAGTGAGACTGTCATTTGATGAGACAATCGTTATAGGTTGATGATGTTCTTCCTATCTGACACTTATTTTGCGAAGAAACATGTGTTTGCAGCTAGAAGCTGCTAGCGCTTGTGTCTCCTGTGACATAAACTTCCTTTCATGTTAGTCTTGCAAGTCCTTGAGAATTTTCTCAATTTGTATGATCGCACGTATATCGTTCATTTTCTTAAACCTAAATCACAACCGTTTTAGACGCTCCCGAACAGCTTTACGAATGGGATTTTGAGGACGAGGCACTGGCTACTTCTTATATTTCAGCGCTGCAATCACGTCGGTGCAAAAGCTCAAATGCTGGTAGAACTCATCAGCAGCGATATTTGAACTGTCTGTAAGAAAAAAGCTATTCCTGTCAAAGGATCTAACAGTCAGACGGAAGCTGTTCCCGTGCAGTTTATGATATGGTCGATATTGTTACGCATAGTGTGGGTTCACTGCCGTTACCAGAGCAACCTTGACAGTTAGTTAGATAACCTTATGATCTCTCCCAGGGAGCTTACTAAAAGGCTGTGTTTGCCAACTGGATATGCCGAAGGTGAAATGTAAGTCAAGAATATTCCTGCCTCTTGTAGGAAAGCTTACTCTGTCCATCCACGTGTGTTCCTAGAGGAAAGCAAATTCCGATTATTGGCGAGTGCTGTTTGTCCCTGCCACGAAACATCGAGCATGTTGAGGTCGCCACCTAAAATTTTATCTAAGAACGGCATCCCAGATGCCCATTCGACTAATTCAGTCAGCTGGTTCAGTTTGGCGTTGGTAGCGCCGGGCGAGAAGTAAATACAGCTAGAAAGAAAATGATAAGACTTTAACTTAACCCGTACTCAGACCGATTCCTCGAATCAGCCTGACGATGGAGCCTCCACTCTACGCGTCTCTATATCATTATTAACGTACACAACACGTTAGCAGGCGATGTTTTGCGTTCATTTTTGTGTTAGCTACGTGTGTGTACCCGGTCTGCACTATACTTCGGCAACTTGAGTGCGAGCTTGCGTAGGTGACTACGCGACTCTCTTAATATCCTTATCCCACGTGCGACTGATGGTGGTTGTGTGTCAGCGAAGCTTCGGTACTATGTACCGGCGTACTGCTGATGCCTTTTTTCGATCAACTTGTGTAAACCAACAGATCCCTCATCATTCTTCGCCTTTTCCCTTTGTCTTTAATCTCTTATTGGTCGCGTTATTTCCTTCAATGCAGAGCAACGCCCGTATACCTGTGAACACTGTCAGAAATCTTTTTCTCGAAATTACACTTTACAAACACACATCAAATCTGTACATTTGGGTGAGTATGAAAGTCTGGGAGCTTCATTTGACCGTGATTTTGTTAATTTACTAGTCTCGTTGGCACCAAGCTGACTGTTACTGCTCAGGGTTGTATTGCTTTCGTCGCTGAGATACATCCGACTTCACAGGATATCTATATTTCCAGATCAGCTACCGTATTGTTCAACAAGTGGACGTTCTATGTTATTTGGCTCGCTTTTGCTGATTTCTAGTGTTGGATATTTGTCAATCGAAACATTTTACAATTTGCGGGCTAATCCGTCAATGCAGCCTAATAATAATTGCGCACCTATTTTCTGCCATATCTCTGACTCTTCCGAACGTTTTTTTCATTCGATGTTTTCAGATGACTTTCTTGAATAAAGTCGCCAATTCATTATTGAAGTCTCAACAAAACACGTGCTGCACAGAGTGTACGTAGTCCTTGGTATTTATTTCTATTTTGGCTGTTTTGTTTTGCGGATGGGCGCAGGACAATTGCTCCTACCAACTATTCCTTTCTTGCTGCCGACATCTATTGCGAACCTAATGATACATGGTTGGGGTACGACAGATGTAAGGTTGGATTCCTTCCGAGCCGACACGATTCACATTGCTTCATCCCGCTCACCACATTGATGAGGTGTATTGCATGGTATGGCATGACATGGCACGAGTACCTGCGAGACATGGACCCACTGAAAGGGGGAACTGTTGACGTCTTGCAACTAGCCCACCCAACTTATGTACGCAGTTCCATTTTCCCTGTGTTATCATATCTAACGCGTTAGGTGAGAATCAATGGAATTGAAGCCACAAGTGTTTTTATACAGCAGTTTGTATAATTATGCCATATTTCTCTTGTAATTTATACTCAGACCAGCTTAGCTGTGCCGTACTTCACCTTTTTAAGAATATACCAATTTCGGTACTATTGGATCGGCCTTTTTTGGTGGGACACTTTGAAAGCGGCTTAGCTAACCAGCATCACTCGCTTTTGTGTTGGTTTGCGATTGCGCTGCTCCTTGAGCCGTGCTTTTATATCTGCCGTCTGACGCGTGACGTTTGACGTGAGATGTTGTTTTAGGCGCTGATGTATCAGCGCACTGACGATACCACCTCGCATGGTAGTGAAAAAATGCAGACAAATTCCTTATCTCGGCAAATTAATAAGCAACTGAACGGTCAACCCGAGCTACTAAGATTCCGTATCATTTAAAACGTGAGGATCAAGCGTCCTCCGTATCGCGTTACCGAATAAGTGCGGCCTTCGGGTGCAACAACCCCGTCACTGAATATGGTGCCGCATAACGGTGAAGTTGGTGAGTCGAAATGTGCTTACAAAGTAAAATGAGGGATCACCTGTTCAAGTTATGCCATCGCGTTCAACCTAGATGCGGTGGTGTAAACCAACTAGTATCAAAGAGACAAATCAATCGGACTTATGCGTCCTTATTTTGCCAAACCTGCAGAACTATTTCAATAGTCATTTGTATATTGGTGCTCATGGCAACTTTATAAAGCTGACTGAGATAGTCGAACAGATAGCTAGATTGACGGCTTTGCCAGTGGTATCTAACAATACCCACCTTGTTCCACAGCAAACCTCTCAGAACTCTACCGCTAAGTCAAAGATTAAAGTCAATAATTCTAACCGCCCCTCCTCATCTGTGCTACCTATTTTGGCATTCACATTTGGCATTACTGCTTTTAACTCATTCCTTGATGCTATATCTAAGGACTCGGTCACAACACCGGCAGCCCAGAACAGGGTAACCTAGGCATCAGTCGCCTGGGTAACAGCGCTGGAAGTGGCACCCTTATATCCGTTTTCAGTACGAAGCACGAGCGCAGCAGTTTTGGCGACAATATTTAGTGCCTGGTAAACAATCCTTGTTTCCAGCCGCATCACTCAAACCGACATTCGCCACACAGTGTGTTGACTATCGTGTTCTTGAGTCCAAATATGTCACAATAACGGGCAGGTTGTTAGACGATCGCAACCAGTGGAATTCCATCTGCGATGCGGTAGGTATGCCGGTTGACCCAATAATAATAATAATTTGCAGCGCTCTATTTAATAGACATGGAGCAAGACAAAACCTTGGAATTTACAGAAAGCAGACAGGTTTAACATCGTATCCTCATAATGGCACATGAACAGAAGACTATTGTACCACGATAAAAGCAAAAACGGAGCGTTTTTGTTTTTCTGCACACGTTATCTTTTAAATGTTTTTGTCGTTTTTAATCGGTAAGCATTAAGCACCTAAGTCTAAGTAGTCATGTACCTAGATTCTCCACTGGTCTCTATTACGAGCCATATCCTGAATTGTTTTCAGCCATCGGCGCTCCTGCTTTGGTCCCCAGTCAGGCAGACTTGTGGATCCAACGGTGTCATGACGTGAAGTGAAGTATCTCATGTGCTCTCGCTAGTTGGATGGTGGAAAACTATGTGGTCTCTTCCAGTTGAATCCTGCCCGAGCAAACTGAGCATGACAGGCCAATCGCTCAGTTGACATATGCTGCACATGACCAAGCCATCTTTACTGGTGCAGCAAAACCAGCTTGTTGAAGCGAATACTCGCAATCCCTAAGTGATCGCTCTGGCTTCACTGTTGCGGATGTACTGTTGCCACCACATGCGGGCAGTCATTCTCAAGCACCCATCGTGGGAGGCCTAGAGCCGGCACATGTCGTCTACGCGAACTGGTCATGACTCGCTTCCATATAGCAACACCGCCCAAACGTTGACATTGTAAACACGACCTTTTAGCAAGAGGGAGACATCGCGACGATGCCACAAATGCTGCAGGTCGACAAACGCCGACCGACCTTTGAGAGTGCGAAGAGAAATGTCCTTTACAATAGTAACACTAGCAGACACAGCTGCCCAGTGAGACAAAGCTATCCACTTGTTCAAGCTGTGTACGTTCACTGGTGAGCACGGGAACAGTTGATTGCCAATCCTAAATCAGCACCTTACACTTTGACGCGGTAAAGCATATTCCGTTCCTAGACGCCTCAATCGCCAAACGGTCTAGGTTGGTTTACATGCTCTGTGAGTCGTCACCAAGTAAGGCGATATCATCGGCATAATCTTAGTCGGTCGCTCGCTTACTCGGTAGTAGCTGTAGACCAAAGTTTTGGTAGATGTCTAGATCTCTCGATAGGACGTCTTTAATCGCAAAATTGATGATGAACGGAGGACAAGGCAGCTTTGTCGTATACCGCTACTGACAGCGAAGGACGACGCAAGCCTGTCATACACCCTAACTCTGACGAAGATGTGGAAATACAGTGCGCGTAGAATGGCAATGTACATTTCTAGGGCATTGTTTCTTAGCAAACAACTCCATAGTGCAGGTCGATCAACCTAGTCGAATGCGGCACGGATGTCAGGGAATGCAACGATGCTAGGTCTCTGGTAAGGGTGGCGACGTTCCAGGATTTGACGGATTGTGAATATCTGATCCACACACCCGCAGCCAGGTCTGAAACCAGCTTTTTCTTCTTGTACTGGGATTCTACGGAGTAGTATGGATGCCAATAGCTTGAATGCAACCGAAATGTGACTAATCCCCGGGTTATTGGTGCATGAAGTGCAATCACCCTTTTTAATAATCGGGACAGCAACTGACTCGCACTTTTTATTCATGCCAGATTTTGGAGAACAATAAAGTTAGCTGGCGAATGATAACTGAGCTTCAATATTTGAACAGCTCCGGAGGAAGTCCGTTTGAGCCAGCAGCGTTGATTGGTCGTAGGTGTCGAATCGCTTCGCTGGGAGAATCAAGTATGACGACCCAGTGATCACGTTACCCTATGGTTTGCCTATAAATGATATGCGGAGTATCTTGAAAATGATGATAAAGCGTATACTGCCATGCACTTCAGCGCGTTAACCGCGCTTGCTAAGGAGGCATCTCGGAGTTACTTAACTAAATATCCCCCAGAAGTCACTTCGAAAACTTTCACACACTGTTGCGCACCCGTCAGAACAGAAATCCGTCCATCGTCGAAGCAAAAGCAACTCGGTTCTCAGGAGTTGAACATTTAAATGTTTGCCCTTGAAGGACATGGCATACAGAGCTCACAATGACTCTGAATTCCCTAAACCTGAACCGAATACGTGGCACAGCGTAACTTTATGTGAGTTTGCTCCGCGAAGTGAGGCATCAGCAAGGGTTAGTGTAGCGATTCTGCATGAACCTCAATCTCTTTTACAGGGATATTAATGGCCTTCGTAAGGTGCAGCTCGGAATTCTAGCACTGGTCACGGCTGACGGATGCACGTGATCGGCAACACAAGCAACCGATCTCTTACGGTTTCATTATGCAATTGCGTTCTAAAGGATAACGGGCACAATGATTATCCCTGTTTCGATTGTTCCACCGTCAGCTTTTTTCAACAGCACTTTTACTGCTGAAGCTGTGTTGAAAATACTGTTCCTGCGTACACACAGCTTTCCTGTGTCAATTACATTCGACAGAAGGCTCTACAGGCAGCGCAAAAACGTGCAAGTCGATGGTGTAAGGATACGAAGGAGGGTGGATGTAGTTAAGGTTGCGCTTTAGAATAAGCGGATGGACCATGGCGAAATGAGCAGTGCCAGAGCCCAACAAGTGCTGCTGTTAGATGCATGAGCAATGATCTTCCATCAACAGGGTTGCATCCACCGCCGAAAGATGTTGCCGTTCCGGTAAGGCTTCTTACCAATTTATCAATTTTGGATCCTAGAGATAGGTGAGATGTCAGTGCCTTATTATTACTATTATTATCATTATTCGGATTTGTTCGTTCATTACCAGCGAACATTACGCACATTATATGTTTGTCTTTGTCTCGTTTGTTACGATATATTATCTACAGCCATCGCCTTTGTAGTGGGCCACTTTGTTTATTGTTCGTCATTCTAGCCTTCTTCTGTCACAGCTTGTGTGCACAGCATCTCTCGGATCAATTTCTGTTTCCCATTCCAGAGCAACGCCCCCATTCTTGTGAGCACTGTGGAAAATCGTTTTCAAAGAAGCATCATTTGCAAAGGCACATAGAAGGTGTTCATTTGAGTGAGTACACATTGAAGTCGCTGTCGCGTTTTTTCGTTGAAATTCGTTGAGTGCTTCTTCATCATCCATTTTTCGCTATTTTCCTAATGCAAACGAAGTGATGAATTTGATCTGGGCTGCCCTGTCGGTGTCGCATTTAATTCGGGTCGAGTAATTTATTCCTTGGGAATACCGGTATGTTTTTGTGTAGATATATTAGGGGCGTTAGTGTCCATGTTGGACACTTTGGTAGCCTGGCTAGGTGAAGTTGATTGTGCACCTTGTGTGAAGCTCAATTTCCGCTGTGCTTGCTTTTATTTTCGGTCCTTGGACGCTGATTTGCCTTCCGTCTTCTCTAATGTTTCCTTGTTGAGTAAAGTCAAAATAAACTTTAAGTATCCTTTTGGGTACATTATCAGCACTTTACAACATCGAATGCGGATTAACTAAAATTGCATTATTAGAACTTTAAATTGGTGTGAATGGAAAATCCCACTGTGTACAGGTGTCGGTAGGGTAAACTGTCAGTATAAACGAGCAACAAACAAATTTTTCTGGATTGACTAGCCTAAAGCTGCATTCTGTTGGGTGGCCAGCGTTGCAAGTTCGATTTCCAATTGAGACGGTCCATCTTCGATTGCGCAGTATCTTGAATTATTCTCCAAATGTTGGCAAAGGACAGCAGTGCTAACCTGGGAAGTAGTTTGACAAAAATCAATGTTCAACTATTGTGTGCAATTTAATGTATCCATAGTGCTGTTGTAAAAACGATATTTAGTGAAATCGGCACGGCCGTTTTAAAGGCTTCGCGAGTAGAACGCCGATCGTATAATTGCTTCCGCTTTTCCAGTTACCCTGTGCGCGAAGTAAATTTTGAAAATGTGGAGATCATCACTCACTCACTCAAGCTTCAAGCGACTTATTCATAATGCGATGAAAATTGTCGAAGCCACCAACTACGTGAAGAGGCTATATTGGGACAAAGCTGTCGAGAGTTTGGTGTGCAATCTTACTAAGTCCACTTTAATGACAGGGCTTATTAGACTGGACTTTTAAAATACTGTCAGCAATACCTCTTCAATGAAGGTTTTAGTTGTTACTCTCTTATCCATATGGTGTTTGACCGATTTCCTCATAACTAACCACGTAATATTTAGCCTGCCACGCACCTGTAACCTGCCGTTAACTGGCACGTTGTACCCAACGTTATTCACCTTTACTAGCCAATGTCCGCCCAATTTTAAGCTCAACTTACACACGTGTTGCGTTTCAAGGTACTATCCACAATTCTGCATATGACTATCGATTGAGCCTCTTCGGCGTTTTCGTGAAATCTGACATGTTTTCCTTCAAATTTTGTGTACGAATTGCTGCAATGAGATGGCTGAATGAAGTATATAGGAACCATAATCCGACTAGGTGTCGACAGCATGCGCGCCACTGGTGCCGACTGCGAATTAAATCCTGTAACGTTTTGTGCTAACCATTAGGCGGTGCATTCCTTGTCGCACTCACTCAGAGAGATTGCCTGAGGCAGTAATAAATCAAGCTGTAGCCGTTATCACGATTCATGGTCAGTCGGGCCTCTTTCCTCTGCGTCACTTCTTTTTTTGGCATCTGTGTAACATAGTGGAGTGTTTGTTAGTGGGAGAAAAAATCCCCGCCCCATGCTTGTTTCGTTACTCCATCGCATTGGGAGCTGCGAAGAGTTTTAGTCAAACGTTTAACTATCCCTAAACGATGCCGCGATCACCGTACGCGAGTACTGTCTTAACTGGCATTGGGACATGTATGGCGAGCGGCAACAATCTGAAGTGGTACGTCGCGTATTGTTTGGCGTTTCAAAGTCACAAGGAAATGAAGTAAAAAATTTGAGTTGCCAGTCTGTATGAATCTGAGGGGTCGAACAAGGCATGTACCCGGACCCGACTCTGAACGAATGCTGTTGCGGAGCGCAGCGTAATTTCTCTGTCGTCTGTGCAGATGCTCAAATTGCATATTCTCTTGAAAGCTGTTGTCTTTTTTAAGCAGATTCTTTCTGCCTAGCGCAGTTTAATCATGGGACCGAAGTGGTACTTTATCCGGCGCGTACTATTTTTCGACCATGTTCTTCATGTTGCTAGATGATGTCTGTACTAGCAGGTAGTGTTTTACTTTCATCGTTAATTTTGCAACTTGTATGAAAGCATTCTGTCTCTGTTTTCCCCTTCTTATTCATCTCTTTAATTGCTCGCTTTCTGTTTTCCTATCCAGGGCTGCGCCTAAACACGTGTCAACACTGCGACAACACGTTTGCTCGAAAACGCAGTCTACAAGCCCACATCAAATCTGTTCATTTGGGTGAGTTTGAGAGCTGCGACAGTTTCAACGACTTGCCTCCCACATGGGGCGAGCCAACAGCCGGGACTGATCCCTTTCCAATTAGTCTGTTTCTCAACAAATCCCAAAAATTCCAGGCTCGAACTAATTGCATTTAACCAGTTCCGGTAGTAAAATTATGAGTTCAACTGGGTTATTACTTAACCATTTTAATTTATTCTTAAGATCCTTAGCGATCACAGTAAACTGACAGCAAAGGCATCCAACAGGACATGTAAAATTCTTAAGTAAACCTGGAAACATATATCCATCGAGTGAAAACCAATCGTTGTGTGCGAATTCCATTCTGTCGTTCTAGTCTGTATCTAGCTGAGTCGATGTCTGTTTATGACTTACTTGCGACTACCGACGCAAGCAAGTCGAGTGAGAGAGCTTGGTGATCCAAAGACAAGCACAGTTTACTCGACCAGGCGTTGCCTGACGCCAAGATCTGCCTGTCTGTGCCTGTACTGACCTGTTCGTCAAATGAGGAAGGATGGTATCTAAACCTTGCAACCATCCACACGTTCCCTGGTCGACTAGAAGGACTTTGCGCTAGGGACTGTGAAAATCATGGCTATTTTGGTTTACTTCAAACCTATATTGTTCGCATTTTAGAGTTGGGTCAGTTGTTGTAGCACCGCCAGACAGGTTGACGACCCACTCACCTCGACATGAAATCGCTTTCGATTTGCTCTTGTACATTTCGTATGTTGAATCGAGTGGTCTGAATGACGTTGCTGTTTTTCTTCGTCTTTGATTCGGTAATCTTTACCTGTGTTTCGTGTAAGGTCAGCTTTGACTACTGTGGCGAACCAGCTGTTAACTCACCCCTTTAGTTGATCGATACTGCTGTTTTTTTTACAGTTCTACACATATTGCCCTATTGGACAAACCCTCCAGTCCGAAATTTTCGGGCTAGTCGTGACCAGTCAGCCGGGATTTTGTCTTTGTGTTGAAGTGATTCCAGTCGAATGTGGCTTCTCGAAAGTAAACGATGCAGTGTAGCTGTCCGCTTAGCTACGCGTAACCACCAGAAGCGCTGAATACTCTATATTGCAGTTAGCGAGCGATGCGATATAAATCTTTGTTGCTCCGTCAGGTAGTTGGGACTCCAGAACGGAATCACATCGCTGATCCTGCGCAGTAGCATCATATTACAGCTGTACTACATTTTATTCAAATGCGATTCGCTCCCCATGCCTATAATCCGCAAATTGGGCGTCAAAGAAATTGTTAAATTCTGACACCGATTTCGCCTTGTCTAGCATCTCTGGCAATTTGTTCCAATATTTCACCGCTCGAAGCATAGAGGATAAGCGGTGCGCTTCAAATCCGATACCACCAGTTTGTACCAGTGTCCGCATGTGGTGCTTGATGATTGGACGTTTAACAGCGGCGTCGGCATGTTAGATCGACACTAATAGTGACGCCAATGGATCACCAGACATTCTGCTTGGAACTAGGTTCCAGTTGTAATCAGACAAGTTGTCTGTGAATCAGAACGTCGGTCCGCAGCGTTGACTCGGGATGTGACCAGCGCGCTATAGAGCTGCCAACCGTATCCACTTTAGTTTTGATCTAGATCGGAGCCCTTTCTTTAAACGGCTTTTGGAGTCAGTTTCTTTTTACCCCGTTGGTAGATGTCGTTTTGCAGTAGTTATCAAGCTGCTTCACACAATCCCACCGATGGCATCAGTGAAGGCGGAAGTTGCTGTCTCTCTTGAAACGTCAGGCAATACAGAATCCGCACGGTGTTGATGGGGACTTCGCTCTGTTGCTTTGGATGAGCCCTACAGGAATTGCTGTTTGAGCACTGCAGCCTACTAGATCGTACCAAGTTCGGAAGCGTACTGAATCATCACGAAGTCGTGCTTCAAATTAAGCTACCTTTGACTCTGTTCGGTCAGCTTCTGATGTGTGACCGCATTGTCCTGCTTGTTTTTGGCTAGGGGCGCGTCCGGATTTCGACATCCCGTTGCAATCATTTTGTCCATAGATGAAGATCGGGCATTGGAAATGGTCTTCCTTGATCAACCTGAATTGGAATCGTTCGCACTCACGATTGGCGACGTGATGAAGTTGTCGGCATCAAGTTTGGTGAGCATAGGACATTGGAACCCTTTGTTGGACAATGTTTGCTGTTCGGCAGATTTATGTGACAGAGTCCAGATCGCCTCGGGATCCTTTAACGACGTGAATTTCGCATGTCGTTGATGTATGATGCCGCTCGTCTTGCGGAAAAGTGGCCGGTCCTTTTATACGTTCTGGCCATCTGAATCGACGATGAACCGGTCTTCGTACTACTGGGAATTGGAGACCACTTGTGCGCCAGGAACCTACCAGGATTCCGAGGTTGTGTTAGTGCTATGGTTCACTGATTATAAACCGCTAGCGAGACCTGACTGGTAAAACAGTGCGTCCCCTTCAGCCATTTCGTCCGAGCAGAGAGAAGATGTAAGTTGCGGTATTGTATTGTTTGCGACTAATGAGAACAATCGAAATGTTGACACATCGCAACTTAGGTCTTCTAACTGCTCTGATGAAAAAGAGACCAGACTGGAAGAACTGAGGAGTTTATCCGTTAACTGGACATTAACTTGAACTTCTGTGTTATCCTTAACGTTGTATCGGAATACTAATCTTCCATAGTTCAGAAACTGCGGCGTCCCCAATTCGGCTTAAAGGCCTACTTGTTTCGCGTTGCTTAGTTGCCGAAGCGAACGGCATAATCTTTTCGCACGAAGTTGTCACCAAGTTGTTACCTGTAGTTACTTCTCACGCTACTCCTGATCTCCATCCATCATCAACGGCAGATTTTGCGCGTCAATTTTGCAAATACATTAGTCACTTCTAGGTGTCCATTCACTCCGATTAGCCATTTACCATTCTTTGCCTCTTTTCGTTCCGTGGTTGGTCCGTAATTTCTCAGTTTCTTCTCTTTCACAACCCAGGACAACGTCCTAATGAATGTGGGCACTGTGCGAAATCCTATGCTCACAGGATCGGTTTGCACAGACACGTCAAATCTGTTCATTTGGGTGAGCGTGTGACCGGATGCACTGTAGTCGCTCATGTTTTTTATATTGTCACTTATTTTGGATAAATCCACTGTGTGTTACATAGCAGCCTATTCTTTTATTGCTTCCTCTTTTGTGAACAGTTTAATTTTCCAAATCGTATACTTCGATACACGATATGTGAGGTCTGTAGTTGACATGTGGTCTATCAAGGCATTCCCTGCTGTATGAAATCATTCTCCCTTTGCGTGCGTGCTTCTCCAATATTGTAGCGTAAAACCAATCGCATACCTTTTCTTACTGTGTCACATCCTTTACCCTGTCTTTGGTCTTAACAATAAACTTGAAACGGCAAATTTACAGTTGGGTTTGATCTAGTGTCACACTGGTGTGAAATTTTTTAGTGAACATTATGAACAAAGCGCTTGAAGTGCGCGTTCACATGCGGCTCACGTGTGCTCTTTGTCATCCGTGTGCCGTTTTACTGGTTACTGTTATTTTGCGAATCGCCATATGATTCCTGTGCTCACAAAGAACCGTTTCACGATACACAGCTTCAACTGCCCACGTCCAATATAGGTAACTTAAACCCGAAGGAGAAAATTGGGGAAGGGGATATGCAGGTGGAGTACCCTATTTCTTTCCGCTAGCTTTCTATCTCTGGTATGTATTGTACCGTGTTAAGATTTCCGATTTCTTTCTGAGGATCTTCTGCCCCTGGTAGACGTGTTCTTGACATTCCATTTGCAGTGTGCACGATGTCCTTATCCTACTTTCGAAACTGAAAATGACGAGCAACGTCGTACTGCAGTTAATTGGCTATAGCTGCAATCATTCTTTTCAGTTTAAATTTCGGCTTATTTACTGAAACGCTCTGTCGTCTAAACTCACGACGGAATCCTATTTTTTCTTCGTATGTGGCGTCGAACCGTCTCTGTGATTACTTGACTACGAACGTACAAGAGCCTTACACCAAACATATAATTGGTGCCTATTTTGCTATGGTTACTCCCGCACCATACCTCCAAAAAATGTGCTGGATTATAATCTCCCAATACAATCGTGCAAATTTCAAGCTACTTAATTACTGTAAATACTACTTTCCGTTCTTTTCCCCACTTGACATCTGTGCAGATTTGTCTCGAGACGGGTAACCAGACGTGGCAAATCTGGACATTTAGTCACTCAAACATTTCGCTATACATTTCAGACAACTGCGATTTGTAGTCCGTTGTCACTACGAGTGGGTTTTATGCCGTAACGGGTTGCGCATGATTTTCAGCGTTTAAAGTCAGCTTTTGCACCTGATCTCTATTAGAATCCCAGTGCTGCGGTCCAACTCTTTGATGTGAAGCGCAACAGCTCAAACGGATCCTAATCGTCGCTATCAGATTCATCCCCGTTGTATGGGTTCATCGTGCAAAATCGATGTAAGAGGCTTGGACTGTATAACGCTGTGCGTTCAACTATTTCAACCGATACATTCTATTCGTGATACTTGCAGGGAAACGTGCCATTGCTCAAGTTTCCGTCTTCTTAATCCCCTTCCCGCGCTTTTTCGCGCGTATCGTCCCGCACAAACTTCACTTATATCCCCTTGTTTTTAATTCCCCAATTCTTAACCCTCTCCCGACTTGCTTCCATAGTCACTTGTCTTCTGTTTTCAAATCATACGCGATCGCAGGGCGCCTCTCCAGTCCGGTCGATAAGTACATCTTTAACCAAGCGGACAACGTCAGTCCATTCGTTTTTCCTTTGTAGTACTCGATCCTCGCTAAGACGCATACCTCGACGTGCGCCGTTTGTTACCTATCGGCCCACAGGCAGCACTTGCCCAAACACTCGATTACCTGTGGATCAATATTGGCTGCTTACCAGAAATCTGCCTGCATGATCGGAGTTCCATGATTACCCCGCGATCCACTGCACGCGGCACCATCTGCCCCTTCTCATTGCGCTTGTCTGGAGATGACAGTTTCAAATACCAGATAAATCTGCGTGGGCATTGTGTTGGGTCGCTGGTCTGAAGCTTCTCTGATCGATTGGATTCCAGTCAACATCCGGATTTGCGTTCGTTCCAGGCTTCGAATTCGCGCGGGGACAAACATTGCCTTTTCGTCTTTGCGCCCACAAACTGTAATTCCGATTCGTTAATAGCTGAATTCTATCACCAACTGAACTCGCCCCCGCGTTGCAGTGAAGCCACAGGTACTGTGGTGCTTGGTGGGGATTTGAACACCTAAGTCAAACAATTGTCCTCTGGTAAGCATCATCTGGGCGATCAACATGGTGTAGGCTCTCGTAATGTTAACGGTGATCGGTTGCTACACTTGTGTGAAGATGTTCGTCTCTTTCTCCTGAGCACTACTTTTCGACACAGCACCCGCAGAAGGGTGACATGGCGACAATCCGCCTCAAACCAGTCATGGAAGCAAATCTCTCACATTGAGATCAGTTACCGCTGGAAAGACTGTGTACAAAACTGTCTCTTGATTTGACGCACGAGCGTGGACTCTGAGGACGCACTCCTTTGTGCCGATCTTAAAGTTCGCTTCGGTGGGCAAATGCGGCGTCGTTGTGAGCGCATAGATAGTTGGTACTCGCAAGAAATAAACGAGCATCTTCACACAGGGGTAGCAGCCGCTCACAGTTATCATGACGGGAATCTACACCGTGTTGGTCACCTAGATGAAGCTTATTAGTGGACAGTTTCCAACTTGGGCGTTCATATCGCCAGGCAGCATCACAGTATCCGTACATTTTCTGTGACGAAGGTGCTCGTTCAGTTGGTGATAGAATTCCTCTTTCAACGAATCAGCGCTACAATTTGTGGGCGAGTAGGCTGCAATGATAAACTCGCACCTATTTTCTACGTGTGACCTCGAAGCCTGAAACCAGCCAGCCAGTCAGACTGCGCACATTCGGCTGTTCATTGGGATCCAGTAAACCAGGGCAGCTTCAGCCCCGGGGACTAACAGCAATGCCCACTCCGGCTTGACCAGTAATTGAAGCTGCGTTATCTTCAGCTCAACGCAAGGATCACACGCCGCCAGTGTCACTTGTGAGGGATCGCAGGGCGATCACGGAACTCGCACCTTGCAGGAGGGTTTCCGATAAACAGGTATCGATCGATAGTTTCTATGCTGTTTGCCAACATACTATCTGTTGGCCAGTTCGTAACATAGTGCGCACGCTGAGTCATGACAGCCTTAACATGGTTCGTGAGCTCCAACACAATTAACGGAGTAACAACAACAGAAAGATGGGAAAAATGCAGTCAATGGGATGTTTAGGTGGGAGTATTTGTTTGGGCATGCAACCTCCCGGTTACCCAGGTCGAGGATGAGGGTTAACTTAAAGGACGCCGTTTGTCCGACACTGAAAATCAGCTTAATCAGCAAGAGTTATCAGCTTCTCCTTCGGCCATTGATCATCCCTCTCTCTTTGCCGTCCCACTGTACCTGTTTTCACGTGCTGAACTCGAAATTGAGATCAGACTGTTGTAAGTAAATAAGACCGCTGGAGTGGATAGAATCGCTCTAGCTGTTTTCAAATTGGGAGGACCTGCTCTTGTAGATCTGCGCAACTTACTTGTGAAGCTGTGGGAGCAGGATGCTGTCCCAGTGGACTGGATCTGCTCAACAATAGTCCCCATTTTCATGGGGGTCTGTCTCGGCAAACATAGAGGGATTCGTTTGATCTCATTTGCTGGCACATTCGCAAGGAGCAAGCCGGGTTTCGTCCCAGTCGCGGCTGTATTGGTCACAACTTCACAGTACATCAGTTGTTGGAGCACCGGCATATTTATCGGCGAGCCAACGTAGCTCTGTTCCTCGACATCAAAGGTGCCTTCGTTCGAGTTGATCGATGTGCCTTCCTGGACTGCCTACTTAGGGAAGGCGTGCCCGCATAATATGTAAACATTATCAGAGCGCTTTACTCGCGTGGGGCTGCTCCCTAGTGAACGACGTCTTGCCTTGGAGTACTTTGCGACATTGCACATCTGTGACAGCTATTGAACGTGTAAAATAGCACTGGACAAATTAACATTGGTCGTCAGTTATTTTGAGCTATGCTTTGCACCTTCGAAGTGCGAACTTTTCCTACCCACGCTTGCGCTGACTCATGGTGGGGATCAACTTGAAGTGGTCCAGAAATTCAAGTATCTAAGCAGTCGTATCAGCGCCTCTGGAAGGGCGGATGAGATTACAAACCATACAGCGAAAATTCGGTGCGCTTCTGCTAATCTCTGCCACCTGCGGCACCGGCACGGCATCACTGTAAGAACCCGACGTGCAGGCGGAATCGCTCATTGTGCAAACGTGGCTAAGTGCATCCGTTCCGATACACTATGCATCCACCCATCTTCGTCATCGCGGTTGGAGTGTGCATGGCGCGGGTTTCCTTCTGTGTCTAATAGTTGTGTGGTGTACATTGCTTATGCATCCACTTTTCGTACGCATATAACCGTGGTACCAAAGTGTTCCATTCCTTTGGTGGCGTCAGTACGGTCTGCTGCTTGCTGTTTCGCATTCTTGCACCACGCTACTGATAACTGGTGCAGTACTGTCTGCCTTTAAAACACCACACTCCAAAGTGCTCGCCTCAGCTGACTTCTCTCGGATTCTCCCTGACCGTCGTGGATGTTCATTATGCGAAGGGGGTTCCTTCTCTAACTCGTGTCAATTCCTAACTCACTGACATGGACTCGCCGTGAATCTCCTTGCATAGCTATTGTATACACGGCCTCGCCGGCCAATCACGTCGTACGGTCCCTTCCACTTCGGTAGGAGTTTCCCCACCCCTGGGTCACAATTGAGAGCGCGTTAATGGTCCCTGTATTTCATCTTCGAATCGATCGTAAACTCGACGCTCATCTCATCATTGTTGGTCTTAGATTTCTTTATACTCTGCGCCTGATGTACTTTCAGGTTACAGTTGGCTGCCTTCCTGTTATTCTGTGCCACTTTGGGAGATGTTCGGCCAGTTGGCCACATTCCAACTTTTAGATCCACAGGTAAGCGAGGCCCTCGATTGTACATCAATTGGAATGGTGATTTCTTTGTGGAGACCTGTTTGGATGGGTCAGCAACAGCAGTGACAAAGCTTCCTCCCTTTGCCGCTAGCCACTCTTTTACCATTATATCGTTACGCTCCGTCAAGGCATTTGTCTGCGAGTGGTATGGGGTTGTCCGCCCTTTCTTGATACCAAGTTTCTTTAAGCATTTTCGGAATTCCTTACTCTCGAAGCATGGACCTTGATTTATTAATATGGCCCTTGGGATTCCGTGATCCGCTATCACAAGTTTCATGGGCATGAGTAATAGTGGTCGCCCATTGGTCCGGGATTCCCGTTTCTCCCGTCCAGCGCGTGAAGTGTTCCGTCATCAACAAGATATATTGGTTGCCCCGCCTGGTCAATAGAAACGGTCTAATCACATCGATCGACCATAGTTCACCAATTTCCGATACCGTAATCGACATCACTGGTTGTTGTACTCCTCGGCAGTCGCTTTTCAAGAGCTAACCTTGCTTGCACGAGCGCACGTATGTCACGACGTCTTTCTTCATGCCCGGCCAATAGGCGTTTTGTTCCAGCAGATCATAGGTCCTGGAACAACCGGTATGCGTCATCTCGTGATGAGAAATCATCAGCCTTCTCCTCAGTTTCGTTAGAATAACGGACACCGATGTGTTGCTACCTTCTGGTATCCACATAAGGATCCCCTCTTTATTTAATTGTAGTTTTCCAAAATTTTTCTTAAACGATTGGAGCTGCTTTTGTTTAGAACTGATTGACCGGTTATTCGTGCAGTGTTAACTTTGCACAAGTGTTTGTCATTACGCTTCTCGGCTGCTAACTGTCCCAGATCTTGCTCCAACAGTATACCATTAACACAGAAAGCCACACTCGGCAGGTCATCTTCGTTCATCCTGCGTGACAAAAAATCCGCAGTTTGCTTCTCCTTCCCCGGCACGGGGTTTATCGTGAAATCGTATTTTTGTAAGCGCAACGCCATCGCTCTAGCTTTCCCCTGGGGTCTTTGTCAGAGTTAATCCATTCCAAAGACCTGTGGTCGGTTTCGACGTGGAATCGCTGACCTAACAGATTTGGCCGTCATTTGTCCAACACTCAGACAGTTGTGTGGCATTCCTTCTCTATCGTTAAATATTTGCGTTCTGTCGGGGTCAAAATTCTGCTGCCGTACTCATCCGTCCCATGGCTGCGTTTCGAAACCGCGCCGACTCCGACATCACTGGCATCTGTGGTCACCGTGAACATCTGTCCAGCAATGGGCAATTTCAGCGTCAGCTCTTACCTTCCCATTTCCTGCAGAATGCGATCAAAAAACCGATTGGGCTTCTGCAGTCTAAATGAATTTCTTCTCCTGTCTCAGCAGCTCGTACAAAGTTGTGGCCAAATTGTTGAATTCTTTGACGAATTTGCTGTAGTCCTCAGCACGGTCCAGGAACGCTCTGGGATTGCGGTTTGAGGTAGGAACTGGGGGTGCCTTGTATCGTCAATATTTACTCAGGCAGTGGCTTCAGCTCACCTTATTTTACCTTATGGCCCAATAAGGTGACACAAGTCCTTCCAATCTGGGATTTCGGTCCATTTACACAGATTCCAGACTGCTTTATCGGTTTCAAGACTGCTTCGAAATGACCGCTGGGCTCCGCCTTTGATTGGCTATATATCACCTCGTACACCGCCATGATCTCCAAGCCACTCAGTAAACGAAGCATTAAACGTCGGAAGGTGAACGGGACTCCGAATAATCCAAAAGGTGCCCTTCTAAATTTGTATTGTTTTTCACCGACAATAAACGCGGTTTTTCTCTGTCTTCTCCTATGTTTGCCAGTATCCAGATCTCAGATCCAGAACCGTGAATATCATCAATTGTTGCGATCTATCCAAAATGCCAGCAACTGATGGCACTACGATGCGACTCAAGATTTCATTCGGCCTTCTGAAATCCACACAGAAACGGCACTTTCCATTCGCCTTCTTTACCAAGACCACTGGAGAATTGATTGGGCTTCGCGCCTCCTCAGTCACATCCGTGTCCGGCATCTATACTTTTCTCTTCACTTCAGCCTCCAGATGTATTGGTATCCTACGGGGTCCATGGGGTCGATACGTCTGACGGTTTAGCGTGTTGATGTGCTCGATCCTGCCGCAAAATTCATGCTTGCTGCCGTCATCAGTACTCAAGAGGTGATACTTTGTGATCAGTGGCTTCAAGGTCGGGCTTAAGGCGGAATCGACCGATTGGGAAGATATCGTTTCTCCATGGCCAATGAGTGGTAACTACCCGCATTCAGTCAACGATTTTCCACCTTTTACATCGACGATAGCCCTATTGAACTACGGGAAATTTGCCCCCAATATGGTTTGTTTCGCATCCGATGACACGACAAAGCTGAGGATATTGGAACGCGTTGATGAACAACAAGGACTGTTCAGCAAATTTCTGTGACAGTCCAGATCGTCATGGGGATTATTTGGCGAGTTGAATTTGATATGGCGTTGGTGTTCGACAGCGCTCATTTTGCGCGTCATGCTGGTCTGCTAAATCATTGCTGAACTGGTTTTCGTACAGCTTATGTTGAGAATTGAAAGTCACGTGTGCTCTGGGGTCTGAACATAAACAACCAGATTGTGCTTGTGCTATGGTCACCGATTAGGCACCGCCAGCTGATCCTCACTGATTGCAAGAAATGTGTTTCTAGTAACAGGACATTCGCCTGAGTTGATGTTGTACTTTCAATTTTATATCAGAATACTCATTTTCCTTGGTTCAGAAGATACAGCTCCTCTAAGTTAGTATAACGAATTAATTGTATTGGGTCACATAGTCGGAACGGACAACACTGTTCCCGTCAAATCTACCACTGAAGCGAACTGCATGATTTTGTCGGAACTAGTCCTCAATAGCACGCGGCAATACCGTCCTTCACTGACGAACTCAAACACAAGATAGTAAGAGGACAGGCTTTCTGCAGAAGCTCTCTTGGATCAGATGAGATCAGGTACAAATCTGCAATCTCGATCCTATGCAGGGACTGTCGAAGTTTGTGAACTTCAACATGGCACAGCCGGCCGGTGGCCGAGTGGTCTGCACGTTTAGTTTGTAACCATAAGGTCACCGGTTCGAATCCGCGTAGGGGTGGGCGTCCTCACGGTATACTCAGCTCGCGCGCGACTGGTGCTGGTCGCGCGGCAACGAAGCACCGTTACGGCGTACAGCTGACACATTATTATTACCATTGTCTCAGTCAGACGTGTTGGCACATGTGGATCCACGTGCATGTGAAACCGGCCGGTGGCCAAAATGACAATGTGCCTATTTTGCAACTCGTACCTCGTCGGTTCGAGTCTGCATTGGAGACTGGGCGATTCTCTGCGTATCCTTAGCTCACGCACGACTGGTGGTGATCACGTGGTACCAAGGCGTCGGTGCGACCTGCCGACGTACTGCTTAAGTCGCGCGGATGTGGATCGTAAAAGGACATGTATGGAGATGTGCGGGGGTCTGTTCTACAAGTAAGTAAGCGATGCTGTTTTCACAGGGATTTTCTTTTAAATACGGTCAGACTTTTTTTCGTCCCACGTAACGTTGATACCGAATCCTTACCGGTAGGTACTTCACACACTACTCCTGATTCATTTCAATGGTGTGACGGGTAAATATGCCTCGGCAGCAATTTTTGCGCCGCAATTCCTCAAATTCATTAGTCACTGCTAGGTGTGCATTTACTCCGATTGGCTATTTAATATTCTTTGCCTCTTTTCATTCCGTGGTTCGTTCCCAATTCCTCTTTCGACGTAGGACAACGTCCTTATGAATGTGGGCAGTGTAAGAGATCTTTTACTCAGAGGACCAGTTTGCAATATCACCACAAAACTGTTCATTTGGGTAAGCATTTGATTTGTAGCACTGTTGTCGCCTATGTTTTGTTATGTTGCCACTCATTTTGAATAAGTCCACTGTATTTTACCCAGGTTGACCGGAAAAATGCACACACGAAAACTGCGCACGGCAAAAAGCGCACAGACATAAAAGTCGACACGAAGATTGCGCACACACAAGATAACGCACATTAAAAGTGAACACATTTTCGCAAGCTGTTCATATGGTCACATATGACCATATTATTTATGTACATATTACCTACTGTTAGCTATTATATATTATTTATACATGTACTTTGTTTAATACTCACATTAGGAATTCACGTCGCATAAACGATCTACTGGACATGTTGCGGGTAGTGACTACGGGACAATATGACTCATCTTCGGTATTGGAATATACATCACACCACAGTCGCTCCAACAACGTTTCATCTGGGGGGGGGGATTATTGGTCACATCTCCAACGCTTTATTTTTCCTCTTCAGAAATGCCTTAGCGGTTTAACAATTCCAACCATCATGGTATAACCCATCTTACTCCTAACATAAACATGTTACCAATGGCTTTAAGAATACAGACAAACGTTAACTCATATTCCCGGTGTAAAAGTTATTAACAAGATCCCACAAAATTGTATACCTCACAATAATATTACAGCCGCACGAATGGACAACTATGACCCCGCACGCATGTCTAAACGAGTGTGAACCATGGCTGACAGTGTCCGTTCTCGGTTCTGCTTATTACTGTGTCTCGCATGTTGACGACCAAAGAATGCCTACGCTTAATGAGAGATGGACTATGATTGGTTTGCGCTGCACCACTCATAGCTCCATCCATACACACCATATTCAGTGTAAACCCATAGGAATAAGACCGGTAGTCCAGATTCATCAACAGTGTCGGTGCACACTTGTTCAACTTGCACAGCTTTGCTGTCGAAGTTGCTAATCAGCCGCGTACCGGACATCGCATGCTAGATGGGACCACTAACTGAGCCTAGCACCGGCTCAAAGGCTGTAAACCCGCAATGGGGTGGGATTCATAAACAACAAGCAAGCACTGGGCATTGCTCATAAACTTAAGTTTGTCGAAGCTGCAACAAAATCTCGGCTGACACCCACTCCATGTAAGCAGATAGATTCCTTCGCTAGTATCGTTTAGCCATGAAGATATTCGTGACCGCGGCCGCAGAGCAGGGGGCTGAACAGCATCCAATGATCTTTGAACGCCAGTGTCTGGCCAATGACTCTGCTTTGTAACCGCTTTAATCCACCAGTTCTATGTAAACGGTTGAAGCTAGTACGTGATTTGCTAAGTGGACTGCAACACACACAGCGCCGTTTCTTGTTGCACCGTTACCTATGGAGTAATTCAGAAATCAGAAGGGCAACCTAGTTCTGACATACTTGGGATTTGAATACCTTGCTTTCCACACTATTGAAGGAGTGGTAACTTGGCGCTGCAGGCAAAACCGAGGTGTGTGGTGTCACCCACCGATGAAGACAAGAGACGACATCATCTTGTAACACCGGACTGCGCACTGTCATGACTCATGTCCTCCAAAAGCGGAAGCCAATGCTGCACGAAGCCAAATAAAACTGGGTATGAGGGCAGTCAGTGCTACATACCTCGCAACGTTATAGGAAATGTGCATCCTGACGGATAGGTGGTGCAAATGAACTTTATGCAAACTTGCGTGGACCCAAAAGAATGCCAATGGTGAGCCAGCCGGAACGGAGGTAACCTTTGTGATTGCCAGTAAATCGTCGTCATGCAAATGCTCGTAACATGAAAACTTTGGCTGTTATTCTTACCTACAAATGGAAGTGTTACAAGTTCATCTTATTAAGGTTCATGAGGATAAATGTTCTCCCTTTGAGATCATGATGCATGAGTCCATCTGATTTCAGTGCATTGGTGCGAGCAATCCGCAGTTATTAAGGCTCAGACTTCTTATAGCCTCAATAACCAGAAGTATGAATACAGGTTATCGTGCGCTCTAGTAGTTTACCTTCTTAGATGTCAGTATCTACATGGAGCTCAAATGCATTGAAACACGTTCTTTCTTCTCGTACGACAGTGCTTTGCAATCTCACTCACCAGAACTTCACAATACATGCAGATCTAGTGTCCGACCCGAGTGCCACCCCACTGGGAGTGACCTCAAATAGTTTTCAAACGTCCATGTGAGTGTTGCTCATTTTGAATGTCCATTCAGGTAGCCCACCTCTGTATGCCCAGCTTAAAGACCGCAAACGTGTGTGTGTGCTTATGTGTGTGACGGATTCAAAGAAACACTCATAAATCCGTTAGGTCGATCGCTTATCCTCAAGCATTCCCATCTTGAAAGCCAGCGGTAATGGTGACGCCGCTAGCGTAAGTGCGTCGCGCTAACTCCTGGCTACCGAGCGGTCGCTGCTTACAATATTCCACATCCGTTCCTGCCTTCGATTAAACAATTGGGTGTAGTGCTCGACGACTACCCTTGGAGCCCATGTGGTCCACAATCCTTCCTCGTTTGGGAATGCAGTTTGGAAATTCGGTGTTCAAGACCCAACAAACTTTGCGGCAAGTGTCCTAACGTTGGCTCCTCCGTGTGTAAACTGAATAATCCCGGCAAGACACTGACTAGCAATTAACATGCTGAGGTTGATGCTACATTTTCTGTTTCATATATTAGTCACAAGACTGAGTGTAGCTATATTTCCCGATGTACATCGCTCATACAGAAGTTAGGATAAGTCAGCTATTATCGGGATACGGTGCGGAAGACCAAACGTTCCTGCTACAATTTAAATTCGAAATGGCCAATTATCTAGATTGACTTAAAATTAGGTTAGTCCAACTGTAATGATACGGTAGTGTTTAAATAAATATTTAATTGGAAAATAAATCCGGTACAGAAACAATTGCTTTCTTGCGAAGAATAGCTGTAATCGAGATGTGTGATGATAGATTGTTGGTAAATTGCAAGCGGTACAATTACGATGGGAATTTCAGGTTGCAAGGGAATATCATACGTTCAGCTAGCCGCCTTATCTACGCCATCTGCCGAGGCGCTTGATGCCCATTCTTTGTCTACCCTCATATGATTAACTGCAATGCTCAATGTTTTCATTGCCTATCACACCATGGGTATGGAGGCTTACTCGTGCAATGTATCCCCAGCCATGTCTAAGTGGTTCCATTTCAAACCCCGCTGTGAAGATACCATCGTGCCCAGGTGTTCCACCACATACACAGTTGAGATATTAGATGATGTGCAAGGTACTTCTTGTAAATATGATAAAACATTTTGCACACTCTTTCGAAAGCCGATGGTAGAACAGGAAGCAGCGAAGGTTACTACATGTGTTGGTGGTGTGATAGAGTCAAGGGGGCCATCAGAAAATGTATGTTATTATCGTCAACTAAGGCAAGACAACCTCTACAGTACACAGGAACCGTAAGTCATTTGTGTTTTACGGTACATTTAGTTTTACATCATTCTACCTGGTAACCATAATGCTGGCATTTGCTTCCGTATTTCCATATCTGTCGCACTCTATGGTTGTTACCCACACTTCTGACTAAACTTACCGCTGCCTTTTAGGTTAAAGTCCAAACGCTAACTAACCATTGACGGTCGTATTGGTTACTTATAATTCTACGTGCGATTTTCTAAAACTAGAGAAATATGGCTGTTATGCTTTCATTCAATCCTACCTCATGCACGTACATAGTGTTATGGTTCATGAGAGTTATTGTTTCTCTATCCAGTTTGTGGTAGTCCATACACAAGTCTGAACAAATGCCCGTTCGCAACACTGCAGCACTGTAACTCAAACTAGGGACCTTTGTTATTTCAACTGATATCTCACGTTGAAGGACTACATGGAAGCCATTTATAAAACACTTATAAGCACCACACTTCAGCCTGACATTGCTGACTTTTTCACTCGTTTAACATCATTATCTGCTGGTTCGATGTCTAAATGGGACTCGTCTAAAGTACAAATCCCGCTAACATCTGTTCGTGTCTCGATACATTTCCACTTGACAGATGGAGGTTATAGCATTTCTTCTCGTGTGACACCGTGACTTTTGCTGGTTTCAATACGAGGTCAATGTATCCACGTCACCTCTATATGCCAGCTTGTACTGCTGCCGTCTTCAGGTAAACGCACCGCGATTCAGACAAGTCATCAATATTGATTCCCGAAACAGCGGCATTAAGTTGTGACATCCAACTCGAAATGCTTGGGAATAGGTAGTATTCTAGTCACTGATACATTGCTTGAGGTATGCTAGCTGTCAGAACGAATGACCACGGGGAAATAACTAGTAACACATGACGGACTGCCTGGTGGTACTACATCCCAGTTGCTTTTTGCTCACCTAGGACAACAACCGATCATAACCGGCTCTGGTTTTACCCTACTACACGGATAACCTGCAGTGGACATAATCGCACCGTTTCCGTGCTAACTTGGAAATTTGCTTACGCCATTTCCGTCATTTTTGTGTCATACTTATTCTATGTCATGCATGTAAGTCGTGCTTGGTTACGGTTGCATTCTAGTATGATTTACTACTGACTTTGTGCAACGTGGTATTTTTATTGCACCTGCCTAGAACGATTGAGCCACACCTAACCTATCTTTATTGGGCTTACTTAACGCGGTTTTATTTCGCGACAACGTCACATGTTGCCCACTACAACGTTTTACTCACCATGACCTTCGCTATGCTCTGCTTGCTATCTTCTCTAGTGTAGCCTGGTACGGTGACATACCGAGACTTTGGCTACGGCATCTTCCTCTTCGTATTATTGTTACTAGGCTGCGATTCACATAACTAGGTATACTCCATGGTATTACCCACCAGGCCGTTATCTACATCCTGCTCCGTGAAATCGAGTCACAGATTACATAGTCCAAGCTTGACCAGATGCTCAATGCTAAGTATCACTACTCTTAGAGTGCTGGTGCATCGTAGGATAATGGTTCAGTCCGTCCATCAGATCATTCGTAACCGACCTGCGCGCGGTGTTTCGGAGCAAATTGTGCGCTTGATACGGATCAGTGCCAAGGTGGCAAATTATTGTGTACCTTTCCAGTTCAATAGATACGGCTGAAGCAAAAGCTTACCATCGTTTGCCCGCTTACAGTACGCATAATGTGTAAAGTTTAACACTTGAAACACAATGCTCAAAGATTGTCCCTCGTGGCACCACATTGGACTATGCATTCAAAGAGAAATTTCCCTGAAAATTCTGTGGTAAATGAACAATCCACAAAATTAACCGAATAGCGATTATCACGATATCGACAGTTCATATCCCGCTCCACAGGTTAGTAGTGAGATGGAGCATAGTTATAGTTCCAGATGTTCCTCAGCCATACTGAATCTACCGGTGCTTATGAAGACCCACGTATTAAGCGGATGGAATGCGGAAGCGCAGAGATGTCTATCAGAAGTTTCATTGCACAGCACCAATCTGTTGCATAGACGAAGCAAGATGTGAAACACAACGGAAGTAGTACGTCAGTGCATTGCTATAGTACATCGGAGGCATCGGTGCATAGCGAAAATCGTTTGATGAGCACCTAAACGGCTGCGCCCGGAGACGTACAATACAGATTTTATCAAATAGCTTATGTTGACACCAGTATACACATGGGAATGTAAAAAGGATAGAATACTTGGGTTTTTGCTAAACCATGCTAACACTATTTGGGAAGGCGCATGTTTGACACTGGACAGCGGGACTTGGTTGTTATCACCAGTCAATATCAAAGGATGTGCATCAATCGCTCTTTAAATATGTGCACGTACATCGGGTAGCAGATGACCGAAGCGATGAGGGACACGGAGTGCCAGCACTGGACACTTCATCAAAATCGCATGCTGTGCGATCTCCCCAATGAGCTACGCGAAACAACCTGTACATATAGACGGCAACAAGTAATTACACATTATTTCACTGTACCAGTAGTATAGTTTTCATTATACCCGGTAGTTGCCTCACTATTGTTATATCGGGTTCCTTGAAGTGCGGAAAACCAAGATTTAAGGCTTTGCCATCTAAATGTAGAGGAAAACATCAGCAGTTTATATTGGGTACTTATTCTGATGCCTGCGAAGGTGGTTGTTTGCCTGACCATCAAATGAAACCCATACACGTTTGTTGTACCATTCGCCATGATGTCTATTGTGTCTCTATCCAGTCTGTGCTAGCGCACACTTCAGTTTGGATAAACGCATTTGCATATGTGGTATTCGAACTGACATGGCACACGGATGACTCCTATCCACGTCGCTATGTATATCGAAAGAATTCGACTAGGGTACTCATACCGTTTATGTACAACCAACTTAGTGCGGGAAAACGGCACTAGGGCAAACCAAGAAAAACACTAGCAGAACATGTAGGCGAGTTTATGACAACTGGTGCTGGTTACAGGTGTTGCGAATCGAAGTCAAATTTTGATCAATGAGAGTTCCTTGGACTACTATAAATGGTGGTTGCTCAGGTGCGGGAGAAGGCACTGTTGCAGGTGGAATAGAAGCACATTAAGTACGCACCCATTCGATTTACTACTCCCGGCCAATAAGGCGGCGTATGTGGTACGTTTGCTTGTGTGCTGGGGAACCTTGCATTTCAGAAGTAGATGTCGCTTGAGCTCCCCGGTGTGTCTGCGCCTGATGTGAAGGTTGACAAGGTGCCTACCTGTCTATTAACCAGTACCCCGTTCATACTGGCACCAGAAGACTGGTGGCCGCTGCTGGTGGTGACGGGGCGCACCGTCCTCGTGACGGTGCTAAGCTCAAAAGTGGTTCCATCCTGCGCGGAACGGGCTACGGACCAGCCACCGCCATGTGTACGGGACTTGTTAAGCGATGCTCTCTTACCCATAATAAACCATTGTCTGTTTGCATGATTTCTCAATTAGGCCGGAATGCTTCTGTTCTGCTTGGTAAAGGAGTTTGGGTCGGCTCCGTCACTGAAACGCGGCTCCCATGCACATGCCTCCCCGTCTTATTCCTTTGGGTTTACACCGTATATTGTGTATGTGCGTGGTGCAGCGCAAGCCACTCGTGGCCTTCTGTAAGCGCAGGCGTCCTGTAACTGTCCCCATGCAGTTTAACGTGACAGGCAAATCCGGAGACGACGCCACTAAATCATCCTGATTACAACAACCACTATATGCCTTTAAATATCGATGCTACGCATCTGCTCGTTGAGACCGCAAGTGGTGCTGTCCCACCCGACGGATACGCGGTTATCTTTACCATTCAGTTTGTTGAGGGATGGGTAGCCGCTTGTAAAGCAACGCCCACAAACTGGTGCACAACATCAAGCGGTTTGACGGAATATCCGGGTCATACTACAGTGTTCGAAGATCGAAAGCGGATGCTTCCGGCGAGAAGACACTGATAATGTATCTGTGCCACAGGAAAGGGTTTGCCCGCCATCCTAACCAAGGCAAAAGAAGAAGACTTTTGGATCACCCACATTGCGGTGCGTATTCCAATGTTGGTAGACTGGGGACTTTGTTCAGGATAACCAGGTTCCACATGGTGCAAAACCACGAGCTTCTGGGAGACGATGCATTAATGTCGTTCAGTATAAACCGTCGGTTAGAGCTGTAAGAGCTGGAGATAATCAGACCAATACTTGCATGCCGAAGCCGGGGTTTCAACATCCGGTTCTATGTTCTATCGAAGTTCGGAAATTACCTGACGAACGCGGACTTCGGCAACTTTGAGCCAGGCATATGTTCGGGTGCATGGATCCAAGTAAGGTGTTTTTGATTAACTCGCTTAAAGTGCAGTTTTAGGATATCTACCGGACATGGATTCACAGGTTAACCAGCATGGGCAAGTTCGGTGTTTGCGCGACGGCAATGATCGGATCACGTAATTCGTCTACTCCAAGCCTGAGAATTTGGAACTGTACTCATGATTGCCCGACTGTTTGCTTATTGCCAGCACCTTCACCACTAACCAACAGAGAAATTTTTTATTCCAACTGCCTACAGTCCATGGCTGCCGAAAAAGTCTGCCGGTTGCCATTGCTTTCCTCTGGCTGGAGACGGAGTCCGTAGGTTGTTCTTCTGGCTTCAAGCGCATCAAGTCCGATGGTGCCTCGCCATTGCAAATGTTGTGCATAACGGCTTTATACGCACCTAAGTTCCTATGTTGCATCCAGGTAATTAGCTATATGATCAAACGTTTTCCGCAATCCACGTCATTCCGAGGTTTTTCATCACAATGTACAGTGCAACTTTTGGAAATATTTAGCTAGTTTGGAACTCATTTGTACTAATGGTCAACCCTTATTCCACTATATGAGTTCCTTTACTCTTACCGACACCAGCAGTTGGGCCAACAGCAGGATGCCTGGTGTTGAAACATACGGCGTACACGACACGAATATGGTGGCGTCCATGTATTGCTGCTTGAAAATGGCAATACCGAGTGGGCGAATTGGAGTGTGGGAAGCCACACGCGTGTCACAGATGGGCGCGACGTGGCTGATACGGAACCGACAAAAAGCGATCGGATGCATCTCCTCGTGACCTCCGTATTTTCGGCCATTCGGAGTTGGACCGCTTCTGCCGCCGCTTGACGCCGTACGCTATTTCTTAATAACGTCTGACTTGAGTTCAACGTATCCAGCTGTGATTTTTAGCAACGGTGAGCATGCGACTGTTTTCAGCAATCGTCGACTGGAGACGGTGAACCACTACGACCGTAGGTGCACAAGTAACGCTAACGTCGGGTGTGGGCTTCCTCGCAGACACCTGCCATTCGTACAGCTTAACAGCGGGAATACCAAAGAACTGCCGGTCAGCTGACGGTGGGCGAGCGAGAATATTGGGGCACTTGCCGTTTCAGTCGCGCCGTTGGACGCGCAAATAACCGGAAGGCAAGTACGGAGCGCCATTTTGGATATGGCGTTAAGCTATCTACGTGAAATGTACCAGCGACAGCAGCCAGCGCACTTCGCTCTGTGTACCGCCCGGTAACTGAGTTTTGCTCAACAAGCCGACCCGCAAGAAATGCCGCCGTTCACGCACCCCTCCGACGCACATGGCCGCGGACACAATCATCGCAGGTCATAACCAGCTCCTGGAGTCCGCATATATGTACTTAGAAGCTGCAGCTCTCCATCTGCCGGGATTGCCGGAGGGGATTGTGACGTCGGCCACGGATAAGACTGTATTTAGAAACGAATGTAAAATGACAATGGCAAGCTCAGATGAAGTAGTTATTATAAAAGCGGTTCTAAGTGGCGCACAGCCGACGGCCGCCTTTTACGGTACAAGACAGGAACCCCGGAATGCAACAGCTGGCGAACAAACCAAACATCCAACTTTACAAGCTTTGGTGATTGATGAAGTAATATGTGCATAATGCAGCATACAAGATCCGGAAGAAAACGTGTGACGAACGATACACTGTTTTCGATGCCGGTATTGTGGGCGTTGTTATAATCGAAGCTGTCTTCGGCAGCCCCATAATAACGGTTTTCTGGTGCTGTTTCTGCGAACTGCCATTTGATTGACACTGCGAAGTGCGTCGGTGACGTTTTACAGCCCAGACATGTCAACGAGCTTTTCCTGTTCTGCTTACCTTCCTGTGCGCTAATGATATCGTTAAATGTGCACCACTTTACAAACAATTTCATTGCCATGTAACAATGGACGCTGATGCAATTTCTTATTCTGTTTACGTCTATTGCACAAAGCCAACACATCGGCGTGGTGCGGTGATTTAGCCAGTTGTAACTTGGGCCAACCTGGCTTTGGTGGTTTCACATGTGATTTGTATTTCCTTTCAGGGTACCAACGAATGGGACGAAAGAAAGTATGTAGCAACAACCCCGGTGTGTATCGTAAAACGAATAAATGGCTTATGCTGAATGTATTGTTTTTTCCATACTATCGTCTTGTGCAGTGTGCGCACATAACACATATAGTGGCTATCATTGTGTGTACTTTTCCATAGGTGAAGAGTGTGGCGTTTGGTATTACACATGCTCAGTTTGAGAACGTTGCAACCGCACCTACAGCATTTTTTTATTCGAAGAAGTTTTCGCTTATGTTCAAAGGGAGAGCAGTGCGAACTGGTGTATTCCATCGCTGCAGCTTGCTAACGGGTAGCATTACCTTGTAGCGAATTACGTTAGGCAGCCTTTGGTTAGTGGCTTTTAGCACCGGCTGCAAGCTGTTGGGTGGCAACGACAAGTGTAACTATTTTCGTAACAGACTGCGCTCTTTTAACCCCTACCCATTTATAAACTACGTATACATAATCCCACTTATCGGTAATTGATCGGGTTGCATGCTGCAGGTACAACGATTAAAAAGCAGTGCTGTTATCGTCATATTTTCGAACACAGCGTAACAACTGTGCCGGTCAAATGCTGGCGACCAACGTTAATACTCGGTGAAATAGGCGATGGTTTGTCAGCGCACGTAAGTAGGCAGTCATTACCTAGGCGGATAGTTAATGCCCGAGCTTGTTAACGAAATGGCAGTAGCGCAAACCTACTAGCCGAAAGTGCTTGGGAAGAACCACGATACCAAGGCGAGATAAATGTGCATGTTTTGTCCTCATTGCCCCGTAGTAGCAGCTGTTAGCAGTACGCCGCTTGAATAGTGCATAGCCCTGCTACTTCTGAGCGGAGACGGATAGTATGACAACCACGGAATGATACGAAATACGGAGCCGTAATAATCGAGTAAGCCAGAGTATGGTGTTCATCAGCGAAATTGCTGCCCACTCCAAAGGACACCAGTAAAAAATGAAAAAATAACGTCCGATGGTAGTGAACGGCAATGCAAGCACAACTAAACAGACCTTGGGTGCGAAGTTTTAATAGCAGTGAATGAATTTGATAAGGAAATGCAACCGTGTTGTAGTATATTCGGTTACATGAAGGGACAGAAGGTACGGCGGAATGAAACGCAGATGGAAAACGTGTAAGCAGTGGTTGGGAAATATATCCATGGCCAAAATAGACGGGTAACAAAGGCGGCGAAAGTAATTGCTCGCAATTGATCAAATCGTGGCAGAACGCCCAAACTAAAATTCCTCACATATAATGCTTATTGTCAATAATCGTATGGATAACATATAAGCCAAACGACTGCGGCCGCGAGTGCGTATGTCCTAATCTATCATGCTTATGTCAAAAAAGGTATAGCAAAGTCACCGTATATAATAATCATTGCGAACTAGGTTATGAGAATTATGGAAGCTAAAAGCCAGAGGTGAATACTGGGAGGTTGTACAAAGTTCCAGTTATTCCGCTAACCACATAAAAGCAACCGCAGTGCGGCGCAACGCCTTAAGTCGTGATGCACTGCATGCAATTAATTCTGCTGAAGTTGTGGGTGCGACGAATTATGGAGCCTCATATTTATGTATCATGTGAGTGTATGACAGCCTTGATGCTCTTGCGCGCGAAATACGTACACATTTGATGAAAGCGGTAGTGAAAGCACGCAATGCACATCAGCTGCGCTGATTCCGTTGACAGGCAAAGCACCGTCAACTTGTTCTTCTACTGAGCAGTCTGTAATGTACGATGGAACGTTTGTTTTGCGTGCATATGTTTCAGTACACGGAACTGAAAGGTCAGCCCAGATATGTGCAGCCTACATAACACTGCTATATCCTTTGCATCAGGTTTGCGTGATATATATACTATGCGGTTAGTGAACACGTTGACGTTCGTCCCATGATGTAGGACAAGAGAAGATATCGGGACATCAGAGTAATAAGGCTAGGTTAATGTGAGGCCACTGTCCCCAAGTGTACAACGGATTTTCGAAGATAGATAAAAGCACAAACCCTAGAAAAGTCCATATCTAAGTCGCTTAGGTGCATCAAGCTGAACAACCTGATTGCATCGGTATCCTGATAGAAAGTGGTCGCAATTTCAGATTATTACACAATATGCCGGACAGGGATATAGGTTTATCATAGATTATAAAGCTCTGTGGGTAAGAACATTTGCGTGGTTATTTTGCCCAGTTTGCGCGTAACACAGAACATCTTGTGAGTCTTATTTCGAAAAAATTTTTGTAATTGTTCAAGAATCTGGACGTCACAAATGCACTCTTATGCGTGTGTGATAAATTGTTTCGCTGAAGTAAATACTTTTACCCCTACGAAGAAAAATGGTCTCATGTGCGACGTCTTGGAGTTTGGCTTTTCCTCTCAGTGCCACCTGCTGTTACTTGCAGTGGATTATCTGCGTATGGGCTACGTTCTGCGTCTGTTAAAGACATGTGGGCCTATTTTGCAATGAAACTCTGCATATGCTAACGGATGCTTCACAATGAACAGACAAAAATGTCCAATACTGTAATATTGCAATCCAGAATATTGTCAACCTAGTGAGAGTATTCTACTCGTAATTCGCCGCTATAAAATTTCGGTCACACGATGTACCTCCGACCACGCCAGAACAGGTTTGTCTTGCTTTGTCGTGCATAAACTTCATTTGTTTATTTATTTTGTAACAGTAGTTGCTTCTGGGTAGGAAAATGACATGAAGTTGAGTTTGTACATGCGCTCACCCTCATCATGGAATCGGATGCAATGTACAACAGGCTACGCCATCGCAGTGCGGCTGTTTTGTTGCGGTTGGCTTATTAAGTGAACCTTGTCCAACCCATCCGTATGCCTTTCCTGTTCCACATTCTTATTAATTACCATTATTGCGTGGGCCCATTGCACAATAAAGCAAAATATATCATGCCGACATTTGTTCATTTCTACGGGTAATTATGGTTCCCATCATAGGCCTTACTAACCAGTACACCTTTTATTAGGGATATCTGGGATCCTCGGGTAATGTTAAAAGTACCGGACCACTGACATCTATGTGACCTTACGCCGAGGCAAGCTTCAGTGACTGCACCTGCAAGCTGCCCTGTACAGCCTTACCAGCCGTGCGTCGCAACCGTGATCACAACTCCAAGTTGAAATGCGAACTGTGTGCTTGCAGAGACTTGCAGTGCTGTTGAGCGCTGTCATACCTCCGGTTGCTTTGGCTTTACCAGCATGGCTGGTCGCAAAACTTGATCACAATTCCCAGTTGCAATGCGACCGGTGTGCATGCACAGACTTGCAAGGCTGTTCAGCCCTGCCACACCCCGGCTGCGTTAGCCTTACCAGCCACGCAGGTTGCAACTTTTGCTCACAGATTCTCGTTGCAATCCGAACTGAGTGTCTGCACAGACTTGCAAGGCTGTTGAGCGCTGCCGCACCCCCCGGTTGCGTTGGCTTTACCAGCATGGCCGGTCGCAACACCTGAGCACAATTCCCAGTTGCAATGCGACCGGTATGCATGCACAGACTTGCAGGAATGTTCATCCCGGCAGCAAATTCACCCGGCTGCGTTGGTCTTACCAGCCACCACGGCCGCAAATACTGATCACCCATCCACGTTAAAATGCGAAATGATTGCTTGCGCAGGATTGCTTGACTCAGCTGTTCTGGTATGAGTAGATGTACGTCGTAAATGAACGAAAGCTTACAGCGGCAAATTATTGACCTAGCATCTAATATCAAGCACTGTCAAAATATTCAGTGCTAAACGCATACAGGTCAAAATAACCACGCAAATGTTCTTACCCACAGCGCTTTATAATCTATGATAAACCTATATCCCTGTCCGGCATATTGTGCATTAATCTGAAATTGCGACCACTTTCTATCAGGATACCGATGCAATCAGGTTGTTCAGCTTGATGCACCTAAGCGACTTAGATATGGAATTATCTGTGGGTTGCGCGTTTATGTAGCTTTGATAATTCGTCTCACACTTGAGGAAAATGGCCTCACATTAATCTGGCCTTATTACTCTGATGTCCCGATATCTTCTCTTGTCCTACATCATGGGACGAGCGTCAACGTGTTCACTAACCGCATAGTATATATATCACGCAAACCTGATGCAAAGGATATAGCAGTGTTATGTAGGTTGCATATATCTGGGCCGACATTTCAGTTCCGTTTGTTGAAAAATATGCACGGAAATTAAACGTTCCATCGTACATTACAGACTGCTCAGTGGAAGAACATGTTGATGGTGCTTTTCCTTTCAACGGAATTGGCGCAGCTGATTGGCATTGCGTGCTTTCACTATTGTTTTTATTATATGTGTACGTATTTTGCGCAGAAGCATCAAGACTGTCACACACACAAGGTAAATAAATATGAGGCCCCATAATTTGTCGCACCCATACGATAAGGAGAAAAGTTTGCATACTTTGTACGCGGTACCTGCCGTGTTTTGCTACATGTCGTCTAACTAACGTTGGTCAGCTCCTGTTTGCACGACTGCTCTACTGGTTTGTTATCTTTGAGGACTAGCGTGGGGTGCTCCGAGGATCTTATTTTTAATGGCAGTCGGTTCCATGCGAACGTATACTTGCACAGGAAAGTGCCACTTCGTATATTGCCTTCGAGACGTGTCAGAATGTAGGAGTACGTTTTACTAAGCGAGGGATATTGATGATCAATGGTCATTTCTGTGCTTACTGCCTGCTGGTTGGAAGCAGCAAGTAGAGGTCATTCAGTGTAGCTGCACCTAATTTGGTTTATGGACGAAGCCCTTTTACTTTCGGTTGCGCTCGATATAAATTTATCGGCGTACTTTTAGTCCAGGAATTTCTTCAGTTCCATGATGTTCAGCGTTGGGGATTTTGGGATTTGAAACGAAAAACGAAAGTATCATTCTGCGACTACCAATACGGGATTCCTCTGAAACTGTTTGCATTTTTTACGACAATTTAGTTTGGAGAGGGCGACAGCTGCTTCGTAAAAGCACGCCGGTCTTATTCCACTGCAAGTTTGTCATATTCTTTGCATTGCATAGCACTCTGGATCGGTATTCTAAATGG